TCTTACAATTCTTTCCTTCGAATTTTCCAATTTATAGTAGAGGGTGGGGGACGAAGGGTGCTCTTATCTTGTGAATCCTTTGTTTTCAGAGCAAAGAAGATGAGCATATGATTATACATTTTGACCCCCCCAAAAAAAACACCAACCAAGAGCTAGACTGACCATTTTAAACAACAGTAGCTCCAGAAATTTGTCGTTAACTGGTAATGAAATAGAACCCTAATTTCTTTGTTTTTTTTTTTTGGTACTGAAATAGAACCCTAATTTCAATCAATAAATTCTGAGAGTGCAACTGCACTACTCTCTCTCTCTCTCTCTCTCTCTCACCCACACACACAGACAAACCCAAAAAAAAAAAACAATCAAAGAGAGAAAAACTCAAGAATATAGGACAGAAAGGGCATGGAACAGTATACTCACGCGCCATTGTTTTGTTTTCCCACTTCATCTTGGTTCATATGACATCTTGGAACACCTCTCTCTCTCTCTCTCTCTCTCTCCCCCCCCCCCCCCTCCCCGGGAATAGTATCCATCTTACACAAAAGGTTATTGAGGTTTTTTTTTGGGATTGTAAGTTGATTTCTATTAACCAAAATGATATGTATACATGGTATACCCCCATTTTTACATCTGCAGACAAAACCCAAAGAAAAGAAAGTATCTATAGTGACTCTACTTCATAGCAAAAAGAAATTACAGCAACATGAACACCAGAATCAGGCTTTCTGTCTGAACAAATATATGTAATATATGCATAGACAGAGACCGAGAGAGAGAGAGACATACCTTGAGCTGGCATAGTCGAAGATTTTTCCAGTTGCAGAGAAGACAATGAGAGCTATTTCGGCATCACAGAGAACTGAGAGCTCTTTAGCTTTCTTGAAAAGCCCTTTTCGTCTCTTTGAGAAGGTCACCTGCCTGGCAGTCAAGTTGTCGATCCTCCTGATCTCAACCCTTTGCCTCACCATTTTCACTACCTGAAAAATTTCGAAAAATCAACCACAATCTCAGCCCAAAAGTGACGCAAAGTTGCAGAAATTTGTGGGGTTTTTAGAGAGCAAGAACAAGAAGAACCACACATTTTTGTTGACTAAACCAAAAATCTGAAACCATCCCTTCAATCTAATTGAGTGTCGGTGCATTTCTACATATCAAAAGAGAGAATATTTCTATCAGGAGAGCATATATACAGTACCAAATTGCACAATGGGAGGTATGACCGTATGTGGATTGATAAGATTTTCTTGAAATTGCCTTTTCTGGGTTCTTTTCTTAGTGCTTTTCGGAGGACCCAGACCACCAAATATGACGCCACCCACAGATCAGACTTTGTTCAAGTGGTACATAATTCCATTTATGGCTAAAATTCCACTAATTTCTCCTGCCAATTTGGTGGCTAAGCAGCTGTAAGAAGAAATAACACGCTACCAAAAAAAATCCGGTACACAAAAATTTATAATTTTAATGGATATTTTTATAATTTTTGTTAATTATTTTATAATTAAAAAATTTATCATCTTTGTGAGTATTTTTGAGATGAGAATTCTATGTTGTTAGAAAATTAACAGCAGATATGATGTTAATTAAAATAACATTATTTTGGTACAAAACAATGCTGTTTTAATCAACAACTTATTTGCTATAAAAATAAATAGCAGAGGAGTAGGACTCGTGTTTTTACAGTTTTTTTTATCACATTATGGTAACTATATATTTTAAACATTTTTTTCGTTAAAAAATTATTATTTTTCAAAATAATTTATCACATTTGTTGGTGTTTTTGTCATTGTAATAACTATTTTTTTTAGTATCACGTGGTAAAAACGCCAACAACCATAGCAAATATCTTTACAGTGACAATTTTATTTTTATTTTTTTTGTACCATAGACAACTCTTCGAAGGGTAGAGAGAGAGTGGCAAACCAATCTATCAAGGTATCCATCGAAGTTAGGACAAATTATAAGGGATGTTTTTGTAATATTCTGTTTTCATATAATATTTTTGAGGTACTAGGTTCGCTTTCTCGTACAACTGACCATGCTGCAACTCAAACAATAATTATGATTTTATGTATCCCTCGTACCTAACAACGCTCACCGATATATTACTATATATTTTCAGTAATTTAATCATTAAATTAAAATTAAATTATAAAAATTTACATACATGATATATTTTTAGAATAATATTTATTTTAATTATTTATTATTTATTATTTATAATCATTAATTCTAAAAAATTAATAGAATAAGATAAATATTAAATTGAACACTATTCAGGGAGTTGGTAACTCAAACCTAACGTTGAGTAAATGGAAATTCAGGGACAGTGAGAAATTTAAGAGTGGCGAACATGACGGGTACGAGGGTACAAAAATCCATAATTATTGTTTGTGTTGGGCCATGGTCCGTTGTACCGAAAAGCAGACCTACTATATTGAAAACAGTAAGTTTTATAATAACATCCCATATTATTTATACTAATTGCAATTTATACCCTCATCTTTTTCAAAACTATTTGACAGCGTCTGCCAATTTTATATTATGCTAAGGAAAACTTTGTTTGAAGGAACGGTGCAACGTAAGTAAAAAGTTATGAATTTAGAGAGGGGGATAAATTTAATTGAATATTTTTAAGAGAAAATTAATTGTCATTGAATAAGTTTATTTAAGACCATCAGATTAAATTATAAAAATTTATCCTATTTTATATTATATATTTCTAGAGAAGACTAGACACTAAAAATTATTATGTTAGACAAACATGCTGGGTTTTTTCTTTTTTTTTTTAAAGTTTTTGATAAAGTGACAAATGACAACTTTTGTTGAAATTGATTATGTATACTACTCGACCCTGTCAAGTTATACATTAAACCCATACAGATTTCTCCTTAGCTTGGAGAGAAGAATAATGGGGCTTTGTTTTGTCAGCATTGGCTGAGGTCAAGAAGCACCGATCTAGATAAATGATATGAGTATAATATGATATGGATATAATAATATAATAAAAATTTTTAAAAAAAGAATATAAGTATGATTATAATACGTCTATAATAACATATAAAATATATTTTATTATTATTTAACTATTTAAAAATTATAACTTTCAATAATTTTTTAACGGTAATAAACAAAATAATGAATGTTTGCCTTGGAAATAATGTAATATTGCCTTGTTATGATATATCCACAAAATGTTGTTTGTGTTCTATGTGAACTCGAAAGAAAAATATATATATTAAAATTAAAAATTACATATCTTACTATATATTTAGAAATATTCACGACATATATTTGATATGTATAATTAAATATTTAACGGGTATCGTTATGATATGAATACGTTAAGTGATTAATAGACTTGAGGGATTTACTCATTCCAAGCCACAGAAGTCAACCCAACCAATAAGTTGGTTCCAAAAAAAACCCAACCCATGAGCATTATAAAATTTTAAAATTAGATTCTATTATTTTTACTTAACAAAAAAACCCAATTATGACTCGTTGAAAGACCCACCGAGGCCCAAAATTGCCAATTCGATGAGGAGAACAGACTGCTCTTTCTTTAAACAGGCTAGCTTGACTTGATTTGTTAACAATCAACGATCAAGAAATGTCACCCACCGTTGAGGAAGACTTTGATCGTGGACCGATTCGGCATACACTCTTTGAAACTGACTTTTACTTGATCCGAATCAGATGAATCTTCGGTACTTTTTGCTCCAAAATTTAATTTTAATGGATTTTAAAAAAAATTTGTGGGTAGTTTTTCAATAAAAATTTATTGTTCTTGTAAATGATTTATGACTTTTGTAAATATTTATACCACTGTTACAATAATCATTTTTATCACTTTTGTGATACTTTTAATCGATTTTAACATTTGTGGGTGATTTATTTGTAAGATCGATCATAAGTAGTATAAAAATAATTACCACAATAATAATAAAAACACACGTACAAATAATAAAAACACCAAAAAAATAATAATAAATATAATAAAATATCAAACTTTTTTTTTTGTTTTACTGTAGATCAGGTATGAGCTCATATGAAAAAAAAAGAAGCCAAATATGTGATGGGCCACTAGGTACATTGATTTGACACAATCTAGGTACATTGATTTGACATTTTTAGTGTTATATCAAACTACTTTGCCACTATACATACGAGAAATTACGGTCACTGTTTATCCACTTGAATAAATTCTTACCTCTTGATCTGCACAAGTAGGTCAACAGCGTGAAGTTGGACCCCAATTTTATTTTGTTAGTTGTTATTTAGGATTATAACGACTGCTAAAATTATGAGTTTATTGGTTGATTACTATGGTTTGATTTGAGTTGAGATAAAACATGTTTATTTATAGATAAAAATAACTAATTCTTAAATGGTGTTAAAAAAAATTAAACCTAAAATTTTTAAGTAATCAAATGTCAAACTCAATCACTACATCATTCATAACTAAGTTTAAGTTGGACTTGAATTAATTATAAATTCAGACGTCTTATGTTTAATTCTTGCTAATGTCTCTCGAATTGAATTGATACTTGTAATTTATAAATGTTTGCACTATTTGAGGTTTCTTTTTTTTTTTTAACAATGTTCCATAATCAAAATTTGTAACCAAATTTGCATTTTAAATAAATGAACAACTGAATCAGTGAGTCCTATTTAAAAAAATTGATAATATCCATTAATCTAATGATCTCCTTCACCTGAAATGAAAATTTAAGTTACAAATTTAAATTATATAGTATTTTCCTTTTTATTTTTTTAAAGAAAAAACCTCTTATCCTTTACTCTCATTTGCTCTCTCTCTGTACACCATTGGTGACTTTATATTCAGTGGCCTGGCAATTGACCAATCCACATACCTCTCACTTGTGCAGTTTGCAAATTCTGAGAGCTATTAATTTTAGGTGCTATGGGTTCTTTTCTTGAGCTCCTTACTCTATTATTGTAGGTGTTTTCTGCTTTCTCTCTCTAGGGTTGGTACTGTGTTTTTTCTTCCCCTGATTTGGTAACATGCCATTCATTCTCTTCTTTCTTTTTACACCCCAAGCATTGTACTAACTTTCTGTCTCTATAAAAATGTATAGATATTCTTTCTCTAACATGTAGAAAAATACATTTTAATACCTATGGTGATTCAGAGAAAAGGGTTGGTTTCAGATTTTTTGTTTATTAAAAAAGATGTACAGTTTTTCTTGTTCTTATACTCAATAAACATGATTTCTTCAACTTTCAACCTTTTAGCTGATACTGTGGTTTATTTTCTGGGTTTAGGGTTGCCACTTGATGTTTTTGAGGTAGTGAAAATGGTGAGGCAAAGGATTGAGATCAGGAAGATCGATAACTTGACGGCCAGGCAGGTGACCTTCTCAAAGAGACGAAAAGGGCTTTTCAAGAAGGCTAAAGAGCTCTCAGTTCTCTGTGATGCCGAAGTAGCTCTCGTTGTTTTCTCTGCAACTGGAAAACTCTTCGAGTATGCCAGCTCAAGGTCTCTCTCTCCCTCTCTCTCTTTATATATATAATCATCAATATGCATACATAAATTTATGTATATTTTAATTTATATATATTTGTTCAGATAGAAAGCACTCTTCTGGTGTAGATTTTCTGTAATCTCTTTTGCTACGAAGTCTTCTTGATTATTTGAAATCACTCTACACCCTTTCTTTACTAGTCTGCATACAACTTCAACAAAACATGACATAAAAAATGGGGAGGAAGGGAGAGAGAGAGAGAGAGAGAGAGAGAGGTGTTCCTAGACGTCATATGGTCCAAGATGAAGTGGGATTTGGGAAAACAAGATGAATGGCGCATGAGAATACTTTTTCATTTATCTCTGTGTTTTGTATGTGTGGAGAGAGAGAGAGAGAGAGAGAGGGAGAGAGAGATTAGTGCATTTCCCTCTCTGATTTTGTCAATCGGAAATTACGGTTGTATTTTTTAACAGTATAACGGAAAATGAAAGGACAAATTGTTGTTTAAAATGGCCAGTTGAAAGCATCTACTCAGCTCTCGGTTTTTTTGTTTAGTTTTGTTTTTTGTAATCATTTGCTCATCTTGTTTGCTCTGAAAACAAAGGATCTATAAGGTGAGAGATCTCTTCGTCCCCTACTCTCCACTTAATTAGTTGAAAAATCAAAAGAAAGAATTGTAAGGGTTTCATGTTTGTTGCTGTTTAGCTTCTTCAGAAAACCTAGCCTTTGAAAAAAGCTTAATAAGGGTACAATATGAGAAATAAAGAGAAATGGAGAGGGAAAGATTACACTCCCTAGTAAAAGGGTAGTGATCCAAACAAAAATGTATGAGCACCTATAACTGGTTTTTATAGATCAAAAAACTGGTTCTTGCATGAGCCTCTTCAACATTCTTGTATTGGTAAAAACTGGTTTTATAGATTAAAAAATTGGATATACAACATTGTTTAGGACATATCTTAAGCCTCCCAAGTTAAGCTTTCTATAGAGATATTCGAGATGCAAACAATCTAATTTGAAAGAGAATACTATTGCAATCCTGACAATAAAGAGTTACCCCTCCCACATTCTGGGAGGAGAGGATATATGTGTTTGATTTATTCTTTAAAATTTAAACAATTTTATTCCCCTTAGCCTGCCTAAAATTTTGTATTATAAAACATATTTGGTAAATTGGCTCACTAAATTTCTCATTTCCATGAACTATTACATCACTTTTAAGAGTAGTTCAATGCAAGATGGCATTTGTATAGTCAGTACTATGCCTTTTTCTAGCTTTTAATTTTTGAAATCCCTCATCTTCGCTTGTGATTTTACTAAAGTCCATTGCATATGTTCTCTTAATTATTCATGTTTAACGTAAAACTTGTGCATTCTAAATAATCCCTATAAGCGTTTTGGCATGTAATTTCCCTATTCATGGTCATAATATAGTTACTAGCCACATACAAGAAGGAGCATATTTTTTTCAACATAAAAATGCCTTATTGCCAAATAAGGACCTAACGGAAGCACTTGATGCAAACGATTCATTATGGAAATTTACTTCACACAACAAAATTGAAGAATTAATGGTGGAACAAGTTCAAATGTATGAGTGGTGCAAGCTTGAAGAATTGGATTGTCTACCTTGTAATTTGCAATAGCATTAGTAATTATCATAGACGAGAGAGCAACTAGGCATGTGGTGGTTAAGAAAAGGAGGAAATAGAATACATTCAACCCTTTGGTTCCTTTGTTAGGTACAACCATCCTCCGGAGGGCATGTCAATGATATTAAAATCTAGTGGACACAACTCTCTACTAGCTTGATTAAGCTTTTACTTAACTACTTACAGTTAGCTGGTAGTTTTTATTGCAAGGGACTTCTCTAGTCATGCCCAAAGATCACCAAGGTCATCTTCTTCGCATATTTTACATTGTTTAGTTTTTGCATGTTAGACCTAGTCTTTGTGAGCTTAATTGTTCTTATTACTTCTTGTTATTCCCATATATCTGGGCCCTTTACTTGTTAATGGAGGTTTCAAGTGAAGTACCTTTTAGGAGTTTTAGCCCTTATCTTCTTGTGTTTAATCATTCTTTTCTTTGTGTTCTTGATCTTTAAGGAAACTATTGTCCTTGAAATCCCCATTTCAATATCAAAGGAGTTACTTATGCTTTCACACTTGAGTTGTTTTCTATTGCTCTCTTTCCATTTGGATGTTTGCTAGTAGACTAGACAGGGCCTTCCATATCAATGGATGTTTGCATTAAATGAAAAATCATTTAAGTGCATCAAAGAGGAAGTAATAGTTTCACCCATTTTTCTTTTTCCTTCTTCCTCTTCTCCCTGTAGCTACCTTTCTTTAAGAACGAAGGGCACAATTGACAAAGTGCAAATGACCAAATTGAGCAAAACATTAAAACCATTTTCTTGAATTGACGGAGTGAATGATATTTCATCTTAAAGCTTAGACTGCCCATGCTAACATATGATTGGCATTGGTATAGTGCAATTCAATTTCCCCTAGTGCTGCATGAAAACTCCCCAAATCGTATAACAAGTATATGTAACTAATAACTGGAGTAATGAAATAAAATTATCAGATTTTTGAACTTATTTTATTCTTCGTAGAAGTTTGTGCTTAGTTAACATAGATGAGTGAACTTGAGTTCAGCATAGTAAGATCTAAGCATGAATTTGCTACTTGAGTTTAAGCACAAGTTTCATTTCACCGACAGGGAAAGAGTTGTGCTTTGGGGTTCTTAATGAGATGTTATGTCCTCTTCATAATTTCCGACAATTTTGTTCTTTGCCCTTCTTTGTCTCTCACCAGCCCACCACCAAAAACACCCATCTTGACTCTCTTTCCTGTTTTCTTACTCAGCATGCTTAGGGTTTGTTACTGTTGGAGTATAGATAGTCTAGGTTTATTAGGATTTTTTTTCCCTTTTTTACCCTTACTAAGATTTTTATATTTTGCCTAAACTACAAGGATGTTTAAGTCACTCTGTATTATTTTTGGATATATATACGGGGCTCTACTCTTAATTTGAATATCCATTTTTCACACACATTCATTCCAAGTTGGTATCAGAGTCATACCCTAACCCTAACCTCATCATCAATCACCAAAGCACTGACAGCCACCAGCCCCTCCTCCACGTTGCAGCCCAGTGCCGATATCAATCCGCCACTACCCAGCAACAAAACCCCAAACCAATACCCATCGACACCATTAAAACCATCAATCAATAAAACCAGCAACACCGACTGCAACCCCAGCAGCACCGAAACACATCAAACCAGTGAACAACATTCTGCCCATAACACATACACTGTCCAGCATACTAAAACCGACTCCATACCAGCGAACCAAAACCAGCGAAATAGAAAAACGCTGAACCAAAACCAGCGAAACTCCACCGACTCCATATAAACGCCACCGACAACCTGCTGCCCAGCGAAAACACAAGCCCCAAAGCCTTCCACCGACTGCCCATCATACCTATCCTTATCCTCATAACAGCCTTCCAGCCCCTAGCCGCAACACCAAAACACTCCAACAAACACATATACCACACCAATACACACAACGCCCAGCCTACTGTCGGGTCGTGTTTCTTGTTTTAGCTTTATCCTTTGCACTCTTTGTCACAGTGCTACCAGATTACAGTATCTAGGATTCCCTTTTTTTTTATGAGGGGTTAAATCCTCTTCTTTGTCCGTTGATCTGCTCTTGATGCAGTAAGATCATTTATATTTATTGGATTTCTGGGCACCGTGACTTGATTATTTGGGAGTTTTCTGGACCTTCTTTATTTGTCGCTACTGTTCGACTGGAGGTATATTGTTCTCCCTTATTTTATTCCTCTATTTATCTTAGAGTTATTTTTTTGTCACGGGTGCCCTAGTATTGTTGTTGATATGGCTACTATTGAGGGACTTGAGAACCCTACTGTTGACACCTCTACCGTTGAGACATCTATGGGTACTTCCACTTTTATGTTTGACCAGTATACAGTGCCTACTAGCACAGTTGCATTACCAGCATTACCGGGCATGATCTCTCAAAAAGTTACGGCACAATTGTTGAATGGTCGTAACTTCGCTGAGTGGTCACGCTCATTCCAGCTTTTCTTAGGCCGTGTAGGGAAGCTTGGTTGGCTGACGGGATCTCACCCAAAGCCAGCTGATGCCGACCCTGGATATTCTACGTGGTTCTCTGAAAACTGTGCCATTCTTGGATGGTTATTTGGCTCAATGGAGCCCTCTATCTGCAGGATCCACCAGTTTCATAGCTCTGTTCCGAAGCTATGGAGCGCATTATCAGAGATGTATTCTCAGTCAGGACGGGGAGTTCGTGTTTATGAGCTTTCTCAGGAGCTTTCATATGCTCGGCAGGGAGATATGACCGTTCAGGATTATTATGACTATTTGACCCAGCGCTGGCTTGAGTATGAGACTCTACATCCTCTTGCTGCTATTCCGAAGATAGAGCCCGACGGAGCAGCATTCTTGCATACTCGAGAGCAGGAGGATAGGATTCACAAGTTCCTTATGGGGCTTCGTGATGAGTTTGAGGGATCTCGTTCTCAGATCTTGTCGATGTTGACACTTTCTTCTCTTTATGAGGTGTATGGGATGATTGAGCAGCATGAGCGTTGAGTCCGTATTGCATCACTTCCAGTTGCAGCTTTGACTCCTTCGATTGACCAGATGGCCCTTGCAGCTGCTGTAGGGTCCCGTTCAGGATCCTTAGTCAGGGATGGGCAACGCTCAGACCAGCGCCGTCAGGGCGCCCCAGATCAGCACAGACGGGGGGATTCCTGTCAATGTGACTATTGTGGCCGACCAAGACATCTCAGGGCTACTTGCTGGAAGTTCCATCCAGAGCTTAAGCCACCTTCTCGCAGCCGTACTGTTGCTATTGCTGAGGTACCACCGCCCACTACCGCCACTCCTGCTACTGCTCCTCCTTGGCAAAGTGATATGGATGCTATCACTTCCCGATTAGATATACTTATGTCTGCTCTGACTTCTCAGAGTCTGACTACTGCTGCTGTCACCACTACAGGTATATTTCGTGCCTTTCACGCTTGTGCCAGTTCATCTCCCCTTTGGATGTTGGACTCGGGTGCGAATGGTCACATGACAGG